CTGGGGCCATTAAATGTCGGCAGTGGGTGAGGGGTACGGGTCGATCCAGGATCTCAGGAGAACTTCAATATGGCGTCCGAATCTATGGGACCTCGAATTAACCTGCAACAGTCGGCATGTACAGAAGTTCGCCGTCGGATACAGGCCACCGCCGAAGCTTACTATTCTCTCGGCCAAGTCTGGAGTCTGTCTGTTCCGTTCCGCTGGAAGCGGACTCTGTTCCTCAGTGTCGTCCAGAACGCACAGCTGACGGGGCTGGAACCCGTGCTGCTGACAAGCAAACATTACCGAGAAGTGGATGCACTGATTGCTAGACATGTGAGGAAAGCGTTACAGGGGAAGGCGGTGGCATGGAATGAGGAGGGGAGGATGAGGACGCTGTCCAGCAAACCGACCGTGCAGCATTGGCGTCTAGCAAGTTCGGCCACTGAAGTACTAATCCGAAGGTTGGTATCGCAGCTGGACTCTGCGCCCAGAGTCTAACGCGCAGGAGCGTCTATGTTTGGGCACATGCCGCTCGATCCAGGTGGCGTGGCACTTTCAGGCAATCAAGTAATTCGGGCGAGCGCCTCTCCATGGCTGATGCGGCCCCAGGATGACTTTCAGAAGGCGGCGGAATGCATAGACGAGGGTCGGGTATGTGCGCACATAGCATCGTTCCCTGGAACACGTATCAACCAAAAAACCGCGTCCGCCCTGGGCCGCCTGGACTTCACGGAAATCAGATCCCGAGAGTTGTCGTTCGCGATCCCCCGACCTCCTTCAACGAGGACCCCGACAGAGAGGATCCCGAAGAGGTTACGGAGTTCTCTTGGGGATGTGACTGGAAGGTGGAAAGCAACGTACGTGGGAAACGGTTTCAAACGAAACGAGATCTGATGAGTCAGACGCGTTGGGAACAGTATGTTCATAACGTGCGCTCTACGATAACACCAACAGGCTCATGCATTGTATGTTGTCAAGTGTTTGGGTCTCAAGGGAGCGCCTACACACACATCCAGAGGGCAATCTTGGCGGGGAGGTGCCCTGCTCGGAGGACGTGGACGTGTCGCACGATTCAAGTTCCATCGAGTTTGGGGTGCAGAGTTTGCGACTACAGAGCGAGTGGACTTGAGGACCTCTGTAACCAGTTGGCCGAGTGTCATCTTCCACGGCTGGTCGACGCTAACTTACCTTCACAGCAAGGCCTCGATAGGGATGCCCGAGCAGGCGCCGAACATGCCAGAGGGATGCTGGCCCCATCATCAGAAGGCAACCCTCCAAAGTCCATCAGTGTCAAGGGCAGGAACGGGGACATCGGCAAGCAGTTCGCAGGTCTGATGGTGGCTCGGACCGTCGTCATTATCACACAGGTGTTGTGGTCATACAGCAGGCAGGGCGCAGAATGGTCGGCAACGGCGCGTCGAACGTTCGACATCAACGCAAACGTGGGACTGGCAGCCTACATGGAGGAGTCAGGACAGCAATGCAACGTCGTATCTCAAAGTCTCGAAGACACACAGAAAACAGGAGAACCCATCAAATGGGGAGTGCGTGGCCCACTAGCCGTACAGAGATGCATGGTAATAACGAGGTGGGCGGAGAAGGAAGTGGACACGCAGGAAGTTCCAGAGCGGGAGAGTATCATAAAGCTCATGTGGGTAGAGGTCGGCAAGAGGAGTACGAACGAGGTTGGCACAGTGTGGGGCGCTGCTGGCAATGGAAGCATCACGAGGGCAAGCAGTCGGAGACGGACAGCAACATAAGCAGGAAAACCTTCGCCCTCGACACCACCAACTGGATCGAACGGGAGTCGTCTCGGGAGCAGATCGAGAGCACGTCCGAGGAGATCTTAGCGGAGAAGAAGATCGGACCAGCACCCCAGGGGGCAATCGAATGGGATGCAAACATCGTCGGCGTGAACAGTAAAGGACAGAGGGGTACTGAGCATAGGGAGAACGTGCGCAGGCATTCCCAACTTAGTAGCAACAGCGGACAACTAAAGAGAATATGCGCGATAGTGCGAGGTTAACCGAGTTGACCGCCCGAGGGTTGGTTAGGCCAGATGTGTTGGACCCGAGCCCTCACCCCACCCCTACTGCCTATAGCCGTGGAATAGCGAATACCCCCACTATTCAGAGGGAGGAGCTGCGCAAATGGAGAAGCAAGAGAAGAAAGGGCAACGGAAAAGGCACGGGTCCGTAGCAATGCGCATTGGTCCCCACCGTGGGCCCCTCATTAGGCTGCGTGCCGAATTCGGGGGTGTCCGCAGGGGCGGTGCGGCGTCCGTCGAGAGCCACGGGCCGCGCTGGACGGTTGGTGGCATTCAGCTTCGCCTCCCAGAGTTCACCCTGCCCCGCACCCCTAGGCAGGTTGTTGGCAGACGGTTAGCAGCAGCAGACGGACTCCCACGGGCCTGATCCTGATCCTAACCCTTCCCCCCGTCGTGCGGATCGGCGCTACAACGCAAGTGGGCATCTCGGTGTGCAGCGCAGAATGGTCTATTGAATCAAGCCACTTAATTCTCGGACGGCCAATTATGCGGGAACCTTCTGGACGTAGATGGGAGGAGTTAGGATGATGCGGCAGGACTCGGGAGGACGGATAGATTCCAGCGGCGCTCCTGTTTCCAGAAGGAAGGGTTCGTTTCCGAATCACGTTTCAAATACTTGGCGCTCCATCTTGTCATACATGTTTAGTCTAGGATTCTATACGCAATAATGGTGTTCTGTTGCACACGCTTGGTTCGGTGCAAACAGGCGCCGTGGTGTACACAGGCGCTGTGGTGCACGCAGGCACTGTGGTGCATACTGGTGCTGAATTGCACACGATTGCTGTGGTGTACGTAGGCGTATTGGTGTACACCAGCGCTGTGGTGCACGCAGGCACTGTGGTGCACACTGGCGCTGTGCTGCACGCGGCTGCTGTGGTGTAGATAGGCGGGCCTCAAATCGCCCTTTCGCTCGACGCATCCTTGACGCATCGGCTTCGGAAGGTACTCGAGATCTTAAAAACTGCCGTTTCGCTCGGGACATCCTCGGCAACGAGTGATCTGCGCTCCGAGGGCCACGAAGAGTTCAATTTGGCACACGCATCACGTGCTCAACTGCCCCTTCAGACGGCAAAGGGGAGCGGAGCTGAAATTCGGGGCGCCCCTCACGCCCTCACGGTCACCCACAAGGCCGTCCGACCCCCCCAGGACGCCAACTTGGCTTCAAAAAACATTGCAACGATTGGTACCGACCCTCGTCGAGGAAATATGTGTAAGCTCGGAGGGTAGAAGATGAGATGGAGAATGATGGAGGAGAAGGAGAAGCATGCACAAGGCATGATGAGAGGGGTTTCGCTCAGTCCGCCGGCCGGTGATGTGTCGATGTGGCCAGTTGTATCAATTCTCCTAGGTCACTCAAAAATACAAGTGAAATGTGTTCCCAGTTCTAGGCCCACTCGCGCGACAACTCCTGGGTCACATCAACATCGAAATGAGATGCGCCCTCAGGGCTGCGACGCGCCTCGCGCATTCCGACGGCCCGTTGTCCTGGGACACCAAAAAATACTAAGGAGCTACGATGGCCTCAAATGGTCACTTCGCTCGGAGCATACTCGACACATCGGCTTCGGTTCGGAGGACACTCGGAATCTCAATAGCAAGCTGCCGTTTCGCTCGGGACATCGTCGGCAACGGGTGATCTGCGCTCTGAGGGCCACGAAGGGCTCGATTCGGCAAACCCCTCGCGCTCCCGACTGACCCCTCAGTTGGCTCAGGGGAGCTGAAATTCGGGGCACCCCTCACGCACTTCATGGACACCCAAAATGCTGTCCGACCCCCCTGGGACGCCAACCTGGCCTCAAGAAACATTGCAACGATTGGTACCGACCCTCGTCAAGGCAATATCCCTAACACCCAATGGTTGCATCATATATGTGCAAGCTTCCTCTTGGGGGACCGCTGTGACTTCAGCTCTGAAGGCTCAGTAAAAGAGAAGAACCATGCGAGCCGAAGGCCAACTAGGCTAGCTTAGCGCCGCTTGCGGGGGCAGGTTCCACAGGAACAGCGGCGCCATCGAGAGCAAACATATGTTTGCTCGGCAAACGCGTGCGCGGCATCGCGGCGGGTCGGGTCCTCCGGCCTGTGAGCCAGCCAACACAAACGCACACACACACACACGTGCGCAATTACCCAAACCGAAAACTATGAACCTGGCGCAGCGCCGACTAGTTGTCTGCCTTCTTCCAAAGTGGGTGAAACCAGTTCTGAGCAAAGGGAAGCACTACAATGCAAATCATTGTTTCGCATTACTTGGCATTGCTCCACATTGCTTGACGTTGCGTTGCATTGCTTGGCATTGCTTAGAATTGCTTTGCATCGCTCGACCTTGTTCGACATTGCATGTTGGTCGGCATTGGCTGGCAGCGCTTGTCACTGTTTGGCATTGCGTGGCACTGCTATACATTCCTTGGCGTTGTCTGGCGTTGCGTGACATTGAGTTGTCTTGGTTGGCAGTCCTTGGCACAACGTGTCGTTGCTTGTCATTGTTTGTCATTGCTTTGCACTGGTTTGCATTGTGAGGCGCTGTTCCGCATTGATGTGCCTTCCTTGGCCGCCGTGCGTGAATTCCTTCGCATTGCTTGGCGTTGCTTGGCAGTGCTTGGCATTGTTTGAAAGGACGGGCGTTGGTTGGCATTGGTTGACGTTCATTGGCATTGCGAGGCATTGCCTTACCGAGGAAGACCATAAGCAATCAAGTTCAAGGAACCCAAACATCACCGAGCGCCACCTCTCACTAACCGAGACCGAGGAAACCGCACAACGCCGAGCGCCGCCTCGCACTGGCGACGCCAAACCCGCCAGTCTTGCACAGAACAATCAAGAGACTCCGCGACCAGTGTCTCAAAGGCAATGCGTGCGTACTTCTGCGGGGGTGGGCGGAGCGGCGTCAATCTTCCAGATAGCATGCAAGCAGACACACACGACAGTGCTGGTATCGGTACATCGTACGGATGCACTTTGCAGAGCATGGTTAGTCAAATTTGGCAAACGCCCATCCCTCTGGGGCAAATCGCTTTCTCCAGAAATGTTCTGAAATTCTGGCGACAAAACGGAGCCAACCGAATTGAACGGCGAAACGGGACATCATGAACACGAATATTGCACTCACAGCGTTGTCGAGCGTTAGACGAATAATGTTCTCGACCATCGCCACGCTTGACACGCGTAAGTGTGGTGAGTGGCGAAAGAATTTGTGGATGATGCCCATCACCAACCTGAGGCTGAAGTAGAGTACGATCCCTAAGGTCCAGGCACACTTCTTCCAAGTGAGCACTTCTCGTATGTGCTGAAGCACGGGGTACAATCCTTCTTTGAGCGCGGTGATCCTAAATGACCAAGCAGAAATCAGAGTCTTCAGGCCCACTCCGAATTTGTCGACCGTGCTGACCATGGTGCGCGAGATAGGAGGCACAACAAGCCGTGCTTCCACATCATCGGTAGTAGACCACATCTGAAGCCCCTCTTCGAGAAACCAAAAATCGGATCGCCTCAAAGTTTCGCTGATGGGAGAGTTCTTCTCACTCTGAAGCCTGAATCCTCCTTTGTCGTCGACGTCGAAGACCCTGCTGGTCCACACGATCCGCCACCGTGTCTCGAGGCACGACGTGAAGTGTCCGCAGGTCACTTAGAGCCCCTGCATCGAAAGTCAGGCGACAGCCCAGAGTTCCAGGCGCTGTTGGGCGCTTCTGGGGGGATTGGGGCCCTGTCCCCACGACTTGCAGCTCGACTGTTCTGGAAGCAACAAAGCCCCAAGACGCGTCCAGACGGCCCCAAGTAGCCCCTAAGACGGCCCAACAGGGCCACGAGTCGCCCGACTTGTTTCCGAAGACGCCCAAGATGGCCTCCACGCGGCCCAAGTGGCCCCCAAGACGCCCCAGGAGAGCTCCAAGAGACCCCCTGGCGGGATGGGCCGATTGCCACTCGATCCGCCGCCCCCTTGTGCTTGCTACAGGGGTGCACGGCGTGCCGAATGTTAGGTTGTTTGGATTAATTTGAATGGGCTCTCGGCCTGATGGGCTGGCCGCGGGGAAAATGAGGCTTCCATCGGCACTCCGCCTAGGTTAGCCCCAAGATGGACCTAAGACGTCCAAGGTGGCCCAAGATGGCCTTCGGGATGGCCCTCAGGACGGCACCACGACGCCTCCAAGACGGCTCAAGATGCCCCAGGAGAGCCCAAGATGGCCTTGACATGCCTCCAAGGCGGCCCGAGAGGCCCCCAAGACACCCCAGGAGAGCTTCAAGATGACCTACAGGAGGCCAAACTTACTGATTCTCTACATGTGGTTCAGTGGCTGTAGCTGTGGCCCCCAAGCTCGCCCCGAGACAGCCTAAGAGGCTCCTGAGAGGCCCGCAAGACGGCCCAAAAGGGCCCCCAACCTTCTCACAAGGCCTCTAAGACTGCCCCACAAACCCAAAACAGCCCTAAAGTGCCCATGATTGCCCACAGAGACCCCCAAGACTGCCTCCGAAGGCCAAGATTTCCATCAAGGCCCCCCCCCCCAAAAATAGCCTGGCGAAGGACCCAACCATATGAAATTGTGAGTACCCTCGTTGTATGCACCGCATTCGGAGGAGCTTCGTATAGGAATTGTCCGGTGGGCGTATGCGAAAGCAGCCACTTGGGCCGTCAGTGGAATTACCTATGGGGCCACGAACGCGTGAGGGGTGTGCCGAAATAGGTGCGGAGGGCGCATGCGAACGCAGCCACTGGGGCCGTGCCGAAATGGGTGCGGTGGGCGCATGAAAAGGCAGCCACTCGCGCCTTCGGTGGAGCTCCATATGGGGCCACGAAACGCGTGAGGGGTGTGCCGAAATGGGTGTGGGTGATGCATGCGTGCGGTGGCACTGTGGCCTTCGGTGGAGCTCCCTATGGGGCCACGAAACGCGTGAGGGGTGTGCCGAAATAGGTGTGGGTGACGCATGCGGGCGGTGTACTTGGGCCATCAGTGGAGCTCCCTATGGGGCCACGAAACGTGTCAGGGGGGTGCCGAAATGGGTGTGGGTAACGCATGCGGGCGGTGGCACTGGGGCCTTCGGTGGAGCTCCATATGGGGCTTCGGAACGTGTGAGGGGTGTGCCGAAATGGGTGTGGGTAACGCATGCGGGCGGTGGCACTAGGGCCTTCGGTGGAGCTCCCTATGGGGCCACGAAGCGTGTGAGGGGTGTGCCGAAATGGGTGTGGGTAACGCATGCGGGCGGTGGCACTGGGGCCTTCGGTGGAACTCCCTATGGTGCCACGGAACGTGTGAGGGGGGTGCCGACATGGGTGTGGGTAGCGCATGCGGGCGGTGGCACTTGGGCCTTCGGAGAAACTCCCTATGGTGCCACGAAACGGGTGTGAGTAACGCATGCGGGCGGTGGCTCAGGGGCCTTCGGTGGAACTCCATATGGGTCCACGGAACGTGTGAGGGGGGTGCCAGTGCCTACATGGGTGTGGGTAGCGCATGCGGGCGGTGGCACTGGGGCCTTCGGAGAAACTCCCTATGGTGCCACGAAACGTGTCAGGGGGGTGCCGAAATGGGTGTGGGTAACGCGCGCGGGCGGTGGCATTAGGGCCCTCGGTGGAGCTTCCGATGGTGCCACGAAACGCGTGAGGGGTGTGCCGAAATGGGTGTGGGTAGCGCGTGCGGGCGGCGGCACTAGGGCCTTCGGTGGAGCTCCCTATGGGGCCACGAAACGTGTCAAGGGGGTGCCGAAATGGGTGTGGGTAACGCATGCGGGCGGTGGCAGTGGGGGCTTCGGGAGCTCCCTATGGGGCCACGAAACGCGTGAGGGGTGTGCCGAAATAGGTGTGGGTGACGCATGCGGGCGGTAGCACTGGGGCCTTCGGTGGTACTCCCTATGGGGCCACGAAACGTGTGAGGGGTGTGCCGAAATGGGTGTGGGTAACGCACGCGGGCGGTGACACTGGGGCCTTCGATGGAGCTCCCCATGGGGCCACGAGACGCTGTACTGGGTGGGTGAAATGCAGGGGGGAGGGAGGAGGAGAGGAGGAAGGAAGGAAGGAGAGAACGCGGGGACCGTCTCTTCAAAACGAGGAGCGGGCTGATATGGCGCGCGCATAGGGCTCATAGGGCTCGAAGGGCTCATAGGGCCCACAGGGCTCATAGGGCTCATAGGGTTCATAGGGCTCATAGGGCTCATATGGCTAAGAGGGCTCATAGGGTTCATAGGGCTCATCAGGGCTCACAGGGATCATCCGGCCCATATGGCTTATAGGACCCATAAGGCCCAGAAGGGTTCATATTGACCATACGGCCCACAGACCTCATAGGGCTCATCGGAATCATATGTATCATATGGGCCATACGGTAGATAGGCGCATATGACTCAGAAGGGCAACCAGGCCCAGAATGCTATGGTCATCATATGGCTCACAACGCTCATGTGGCTCACAGTGCTCATAGTGCTCATCGGGTTCATGGGGCTCATAGGGCCATAGGGCCCATAGGGCTTATAGGGCTGAGAGGGCTCATAGGGCTCGTAAGGTTTATAGGACTCATAAGGCTCATAATGCCCATGGGGGTCACAGGGCTCATGGGGCCCACAGGGCCCATAGGGCTCATAGGACGGGGCTCACGGGGCGCGCATGGCTCATGGAGCTCACGGGGCTCACGGGGTTCATAGGGCTCACGGGGCTCATGGGGCCCATAGGGCCAATGAGGCCCATAGGGCTCACGGCAGAGCCCATTCGAAACAAAGAGGTACCGAGAGTCAGTGGGAACAAACGCACGTTGTCGCGGATTTGCTTGGGAATCAGAACGGTTTCTCGGTATGCTACGAGAAAGAGGATGGGGCGGGGTCGAAGCCCCCCGGTGGACCTTTCGAGGACAACTTAAATCCAAGGGGAGGCCCCCCGCACCCCGATTAACTACTCAAACAAGCAAAGTATACCATCCAACAACATGCACCTGTGCGCGACGCCGTGGAACTTTTGATCGACGCCGTCGCAAGCCGTCGAAATATCGACGAACCAATGATGAGGTGGAACGGAGCTGCTGCATTGGATGGCATAATACGGCATGGCATGGTATGATAAGCTATGGTTTGCTACGCTATGATATGCCATGCTACATATGCTGTTGCTACAACTCATGAGTGCACTCGGCCATGTGTTCGGGCATGTGTTCGGGCTCGCGCTTCAGGAATAATGCAATCACTCGCGGCCTCGCATGGGGGCCCCCGGAAGATGGCGCCGCCCGAGCGAACGCAGATAAGCCAAGAGTCTCGAAATTGCATTACCACCCCCATAATTGAATGATGCGTTGGTAGGGAAATACAAAATATGGAAACGGTAACATAGTGACTAATAGGTAGGCGCTGGTCGGGGCAATATAAGGATACGTTGGCGTCTGCTTTACATATATATACATCTATACACATATATAACACAAAAGCATAGCTTAGTGACTACTTAGTAACCAACTAAAAAAAGGTGAAAGCCAGGGAAGATGAGCTGTTGTATGCGTTGGCATGATATAGTACCTGTACGAACACCCTTCGGGCGATAAGGAAGTTGTGGGGTGGGGGAGACGGGGGATCCAACATCTGACTCAGTCGATCTCACTATCGATCTCACTCAACGGGACACCACGGGACACCACAAGACACTTATCGATCTCACGATCGATCTCACTATCGATCTCACTCAACGGGACACCACGGGACACCACGGGTCACCACGGGACACCACGGGACACCGCGGGGCACCTCTCGATCTCACTATCGGTCTCACTATCGATCTCAATATCGATCTCACTCAACAGGACACCATAGGACACCACGGGACACCACAGAACACCTCGGGACTACTCTCGATCTCACTATCGGTCTCACTATCGATCTCAGTATCGATCTCGCTCAACAAGACACCACGGGACACCACGGGACACCTGTCGATCTCACTTTTTGGGACACCACGGGACACCACGGGACACCCCGGGACACCTCGGGGCACCACATCAATCTCCGTATCGATCTCTCGATCGATCTCACGATCGATCTCACTCAACGGGACACCTCGGGACACCACATCGATCTCACTATCGAACTCAGTATCGATCTCACGTTTGGGGACACCACGGGAAATGGCGGGACACCTCGGGGCGCCACATCTATCTCAGTATCGATCTCACGATCGATCCCAGCGTCGATCTCACTATCGCTCTCACGATCGATGTTACTCAACTGGACACAACGGGACACCACGGGACACCACGGGACACCGCGGGACACCGCGAGCCACCGCCGGACGGACGGACGGACGGGGGAGAACCATCTCTTTTGACTTCGCCCTAGCAACGGCGGACACCACGGGACACCATGGGACACCACGGAACTCCGCGGGACACCGCGAGCCACCGGCGGACGGACAGACGGACGGACGGGGGATAATAATTTGTTTTGGTTTCGCCCGAGCAACGGCGGGTTCATTCCTCTCGCGCGCCCACGCAGCTTCGCGTCGCCTGCACGCACGGCACGAACGAAACGAAACGATTTCCCGGTTGGGGGTCTCCGTTCCCTTGCGACATCACCCCCGACGTCCGATGCTTTGATATGTTGTGCTATGGTATGCTTCGCTATGCCATGACA